AGCAATATTTGTCCTGTGATGTATTTAACACAAGTACAGTATATCCACTAATGAAGATGAATACATGTGCAGAGTGGAAAGAGCCAGTAGAATACCAGACCAGATATTATTTAAACTAGCAAAAGTCTGAAGAAGAACAAAAAAAAACTTGAAGAGAACTTCTCACAAATATCTCCAAACAAGGAATAACAGGCACTAAGCACTGTGGCATATATGTTGGGTGGCAATAGCGGGTTAATGAAGTCCAGTCAAGGTTAAAAGAAATTGAAATAAAGTTCATGACCCCAAGATCAGTGGTTGGACAGCAGGGGACAAGTATCTGGGCAGTTTTAGTGACACAGCTGTTGCTGGGGACAGGAGCTGACTGAGGATTGGCTGCTGGCAGGAAGCCAGGTAAGAATAAAAGGAGATGAGTAAGGGATTCCCTGCCAGATGCTCGTGACAGGACTGGAGAAGCTCTGCGGACCATGCCCACCCTTCCCTATTTGTTAAAGTTGTAAAAAAAATAATAATAATAATGTCGTGGTGTTTTAGAAGCTTGGGGGCAAAGTCATCCTCACGTTCAAGTTCTGAGGATGGATATTGTTGAGTGGTGGTGGTTAAAGGCGGTCAGGTTAGATATGACTGACTGGCACTAAGTGATGGAAATAAAGTGATGATTATTGGTGAAGTGAAGTGAAAAGTTACCTAACATGTTACCGTTATCAAGTTTTGGTGTGTGCCCCAATGTGCAAGCTTAAATAAAAAACCACGACCAAGCCATTTGAAATAAAATAAACTGTGTCTGTGTTTGTGTGTTCTAAGTTATTTATGCGAATTATTGCCTACAAGACATATATCTGGTAAGTGTCCTGTAGTGCAGATATAAGAAGATAGAAAAGTCTAATAGATCTCAACACATAAAGCATAACATCCAAATAAACATGGAGAGAGCAAAATGTAAAACACTGCTCACATTCACAATCAGCTCATCCTTTATCGACTTGCAGCAACACAAAAGGTTTTCAGCACAGCTGATAAGATCAGTAATTATATAGAATTAAGTAATACTTCTGCCCTCCACATGTGGATTATCCGCTCTACGCTTTCAAAAGGATTCTATTTAATTACACTGAATACCAAGTTCTACCCAGTCAAGCATAATGTGTAACAGATCCCTCTGGCTATTAACAACTTAAACCAGTGATAGCCACCCAAAAAAAAAAAAAGATTATCTTTTTGAATTACTGCTTAATCACAAGTTTTTCAGTGCTAATGCTTGAAAAGCAAAAAGTTAAGTTATCCCAGACAGAGCATACAAAAGAACTGGCACTGGCTTTATAAGAGATCATACACAAAGTAAAATAATAATAGTAATGACTGTATCAGTTAGCATAAAAAAAGATATAATGTAATATCAGATTTTTTACCTTTCAGGAAACATCTTAAAACAGCATTGGGAATACACAAATGCAGGCAGCATGACATGGTTTTCGAGCATATGGAACTCTGAGGCGGCTATATGATGACCTGAACACCGGTCAAAACGGCTGAACGCCTGCTTCTGGCTGCAGCAATCTAGGAGAACCTGGTTTGATGGTTTGTTCGACTGAAACTACCGAACCATTACTATACTATGAGCCAGGGGATTCATTCACCTTTTTGTTGATTTCTCCACTTTCCATTCGTATGAAAACACATGAACTAGCTAAAAGCATGGAACTAATTCTGGACAGACTTATTCAGAACGGTCGGTGAAATCCTTTAACCCCATGGCGATTCGACTGTGTTCATGGGATCTGAGCGCTTTTTGGATATATTGAGCGCCCAGATCCAAGCTATCTGGGGATATGTCGACTATGGGGGTTCGGTTATGTGAAAGATGATTTTATGTATTTTAAAGTGTTTTGTGAAGTTTATAACTTGGAAATATTTTCTGTACCTGGAGATAATTAAGTTTACTATGACCACTTAACCCAGTTATCTCCAGGATAGAGAGGAGGGATTTTACAGTTTATGTGGGAGTGTTTTATATTGTAACTCTAAGTTGATTGGTTACTGTAATTTTGTCCCTTTCCTCCATGTGGGAGTATACCTTGCTGGAGGACTTGCATAAAAGGCCAAGCTGTGGCCACCATTAAACAGATTGTTTTACCCCTTCATGAAGTCTTGCCTCAAATTTGGGGGATTGGGAGCTATAATTCACTACACCCTCTATTACACTGGAGATTCTGCACGGATACACTCAGCTAGAGTATAGGGGATCCGTTACAGCTAGTTTGGAGACACACGCGAGTACATTGGTCAGCTGTATTACTGGCCAACTTACTGGTGCTCCCCAGAAGCCATTCCTGAGTGAACACTCTGAGCTTGCCTTTTATCATTGTTGTTATAGTTAACTGTTATAGTTAAGTGCTGTTACACAAGCCAATATTAAAAGGTGTTCTCTCAGAGAGTTTTTGGCGGGGCCAGCAGATATCAGAATAGTCTGTCGGCAGTTCTTCCTGGGCCCCTACTGGGGTCCTCGAGGCTCAAAGTTCCTGAGACAAAGTATGCCCCACCATTCTTCCCAGTCAGGGGCAGGACTTGGCAGTCTTGTGGAGCCAGAGTTTTTTCCTATGGCTGATGGCCTTATGGTAAGTTCACTTCTGTTCTGATCTTTCTTCCCAGTTGTGGGGGGCAGACTGTGCCATTTATGAATGTCTGGCACATATTAACATCAGATGCTTGGGTCCTACAAACTGGTCTAGGATATAACATAGATTTTGTACAATACCCTTCAAATGTTTCTACCCAACCAAATAGTTTTCTCTACGCATGACCCGTCCTTAGTGACACTCCAGGTTTCCTAAGCAACTTCTTCCTGGTCCCCAAGAAAGGAGAGTATTTGACCGGTTACAAATTTACATCCCATAAACGTTTGTCACATACCATCATTTCAAGATAGTGTCAGGATTACTAGTTGATCCAGCACGTAGAATTGTGTCACACAGATGACTAATAGATA